GTCCGTGCGGAATGAAGCCATCCGCAGAGACTTGAAGCTGATAACTATACGGCAGTCCATTCAGTCGAGGAATCAGAGAGTTTTCGAATCAGCGGAAACTCATAACAACCCATTAGTCAAGGAAGCTGTAGATTACACTAAAGACGACCCCACTCGATTCAGAAGGCCCCGTCGCTCGGTTGAGTGAAGGCCCCACGACGTCTGTTAAAATGAACAGTTTGTTCATCAAATACCCCAGTCAGGAAGGGGTACACAAGGCCAGAGCGGCATAAATGTAATTGACCTTTATGTCGCCACCAAAACACCCTAAGTTTTGAACCACTCGTCCTCCTGACGAAAGAGAGTAGAAAGGGTAAGGAATAAGTTTCCAACCTTATTAAGATGAAGATGACTATCCACTTTTTAGGTACGATGACGGGCACTTCATCAGGACCAGACGCCTTTTGGATATTGAACTGTTTCAATATTCACCTGACTAGACGCTATCAAAGACTAATTTTTGGCATTGTAAATTCTGGTATGGGAATAGTAGGTGGTGCTTTTCCCAGAAAATCGACTATAGAGTAGAGTGTTCTGCTAGTAGATTTGCTTTTTCTATGGCTTTTCTTAATATTGAACAATCCGCTTCTGTTAGTGATGGAATTGTAGATTTTGTAAAGTTTTGATTAACAGCTTTAGCTACCGATCAGAAGGATCTAGACCCGTTTGAATTGGCAAGCAGTTTATCCCTAATTCTCGGATTGTGAAGTTCTTTGCTTTCATTAATTGTAAGTTTGCAGCTGTTGCAAGCATCAACAAACCTCGTTCGGTTTTGGGCCGTGGGTTTATTGCTCCACTGTCGGTAGGTGAGATTTTTGAAGGCGACAGTTCGCTCGTTATTTTTGTTGCCGTTAGAAGGTATAAAGTGTACCCTTTCTGCAGTCTGTAATGAAAAAATAAATAACATTCTGCCATAAAAATTTACATGATCATCAAACAAGACAGATGAGTAATCTGTTGACAAAAAATATCAAATCTGTATTTTCCAGAAAATCTATATTTTACAAAGGGACAATTGCATATAATTAATCACGAAATGACATTGATCAATTCTAGAATCCAGAGAAAATTCAAAATAGCATTAAAGAACCATTATTTTTCAAAATTTCATATTATTAATTTTGTTTGTTTTTGTCATCATTTAGACCAATTATGAAATAGCTCTCTTCGAAGTTATATATTTATGTGTATGAACATTTCTTGTTTATATAATTTCCTTCAAGAATCATTGTAGTTTATTGGGAATAAATAAATGAATATACTACTGAAAATACATAGTAGAGACCTGAAAGATTTGATAAAGAAACATGTTATACTTGTTTGAATAATGTGACACCCGTACTTTTCATGATCCTCAGATGAATTAAAAGCATTGAAATGTATAGAAGTAGTTAGATAGTGGACCTCATGCTTCAATTCCAGGGGAGACATGGCGTGTATACCGAAGGCACCATTGGTGGCAGCCACAATGTACGTTAATCTGTAAGTTCCCTCGCCTAATGCTGAATATTTATTTGTCGTAACCCTTTCCGTATCCGTTGGTCTTCCTATACAATATATTTGTGGCTGGTATATTTTTATGTGTACATTAGTTGTGCTTTCTTAAACTGCATTTTCAATTCCTAACGACTATTACTGAAAAATCATAACTACCCGTTACATATCTACATGTTACTAAGTAACTAGATACTTTTTGGAAATACACTCACAGACAAAACTATTGCATATTTCATTTCAAGCCTTGATTTCATGTTTCTTTCTATTTGTCTGAATCTTTATGCAGTTTTCATTACAAAATGGTATATGCTGAGACTCTAAGATACAATTCACAAAGCATTCAAAAAATTTTGGGTTGATTTCAAATCATAAACTAGGATTTCATGAACAAGTAACCTACAAACTCAAAATTGCTCATTCATCATTGAAACACATATATCTCCATAGACAAAACTTGGATATAGATGTCAAGGAAATGCTATGTGATTCATTAGTTTTATCTCATTTCAACCACAGTGACGCTGTTTATCATTCATGTTTAGACAAGAACGACAAGGGTCGCATAGAGAAAATGCAAAACTCTTGCATCTAGTTAATATTTGGTATCAGAAGAAGGTTCAGAATTTCACACGAATTAGCAGATTTATCAAGCCAACCTCAGAGAGTTCAAAAATTCTACAGACAAAATCAAAGAGAAGCCTGGAGAGCCTATTGTGGGGCAGTCGAAGACTTCCCACTAGCTACAGAAGGCACTCTCAAACGACCACCCTCCTGACGAGGGAAAATGGCGACAAAGCCGCCAACCTCCAAGAGAATGCTGAAATTTTAATGGAAAGTCACTTCCCAGGTTCTGTCTTTCCTGGAACGACGAACTGGGCGGAAGTACCAACAACACCCTCAAATACGACTGGCAATCGGTTAGTATAGTAATTGACGAGGACAAGATAAGATGGGCTAAATTAGGCTTTTCCCCCTCAAGTCACCAGGACCTGACAGTATAAGACCAGCCCTACTTCAATATGGACTGGATATTCTTATACCGCACATGGTTGGAATATTCAGAGCCTCTCTAGCTCTGAGGTTTATTTCCAGTAAGTGGAGAGAAGTAAGAGTAGTATTTAAACCCAAACCAGATAGGATGGAATACACCTTACCAAAAGCATTGCGACCAATTAGTCTCACATAGTTCTTCTTAAAAATTATGGAGAGGCTATGTGAGCGGTACATAAGAGAGGAAATACTAGTTCACAACCCATTTCATCCAAATCAGCATGCATATACCCCGGGAAGGTCTACTGATTCGGCCTTTCACCTTGTGATTGGCAGACTCGAGAGATCATTGGACAACAAATAATCCACCCTGGGTATATTCATAGATATCGAGGGAGTTTTTGATAAAATGTACCCCTGGTAGTAGGAGAATGGATACTCAAGATGCTCTCTAGTAGAGCAATAATTATCAATGTAGAATACATAACAGTGAAAGGACTGGTCATGAGGGGATGTCCACAGGGAGGGGTCTTATCACCCCTTCTCTGAAACATAGTTCTAGATACCCTGATTAATCACCTCAAAAATAATGGATTCTACACGACTGCATATGCAGATGACATAGTTATCTTGTAGACCGTCAACTTTGTGAACACATTGTGCGATGGAGCACAAGATGGGCTCAAATTAATAGAAACATGGTGTAAGGAAGACTCAAAGTCGAGCAATCCTAAGAAGACTGGGATGGTCTGTTTCACCAGGAAAAGAAGTTTATCGGGCTTAAAATCTCCCGAAATCTTCAAAGGCAAACTTAACTTCTCTGAGGAGGTGAAATACCTTGGTACTATCCTCGACAGAAAGCTAACTCACCTATAGAGTAGAGAAAAAAGAGCAATGTCGGAGGACAGTGGGACGCGCATGGGGTCTTCCACCCCATGTGGTCACCTGGATCTACACTGCAATAATAAGATCTATGTTAACGGACGGAGACATTGCATGGGGACCAAAAATTCTACAAGCAACGGCCATCCAAAAATTATATGCAATCCAGCGACTGGCTTGTTTAAACATCATAGGAGCCATGGAAACAACACCAAAGGCGGCAATGGAATTAATTACGTGTGTGACCCCTCTGGAACTATACGTTAGGGAGGTTGCGTCAATGGCCATATTACGATTGCACACGGCTGGTGTAAACCTCGAAGTAGGAATTGGTCACTTGAGGCTGGGCCTTTAGCGAGAAGCGCTTACTGCGCAACCCCTGCTGCATTGAACCCAGGTTTGTGTTTAATAAACCCTACAAAATACAAATAAACAACACAGAGTCGAATGCTACAAATGCAATACGCATATATACAGATGGCTCAAAAACCAAAAAAGACTGAAAATGTGGAGTGTACTCCAGATCACTAAGCCTAAGGATTAAGTGGAGAATGGAAAAAAAAACCAGCGTGGTCCAAACAGAACTGGCTGGTATCTCAATCGCCACAAAAGAAATAACCAGGAAAGGAATTTCTGGCAAAAACATAACAATCTGCACTGACAGCAGACAAGACCTATTAGCCTTGAACAGACAGCGTGTTACCTCAGGGCTAGTACTAGAGTGCCACCAAGATTTAGCTAAAGCCTCGGTAGATAATGACATTATCCTGAGGTGGATTAAAGGGCACGACAGGAGTAAAGGTAATCGCATTACCGATTCTTTAGCCAAGGAAGCGGCTGGACTAAGAATTTTAGGACCCAGTGGCACCTACGGCCTGATGACTTCGACAATTGCGGAATTAGCCAAATGTTACACCCATTCTCAATCCCTGAAGAGATGAGATGGATTCAAAGGATTCAATCTTGCCACGATCACCTTGAGCGACCCTGGGAAGCTGGCGCCGAAGGAATATCTGGCGATGACCAGAAAAAATCTACGCTTAACAGTAGGCTTTCTGACTGGCTACTGTCAACTGGGGAAACACCTCCATAATATGGGGCTAGTGGACAAACCTCTATGCAGGATGTGTGAAAAGGAAGACGAGACTGTCAGGCATGTCCTATGCGAGTGCCCGGAGTTATCGTCAATAAGAGAGTGTGTGTTCGGCGAGTCTTGGCCTACACTTGCCGATATAAAGGAGATATCTCCCAGCGACCTGTCCACCTTCCTGGAAAGGACAGGATGGACGACGACCTAGGAGGACAACTCTTCGGGAGGATGTACAATGGGTCACATGTGGCCTTAGTGCTGTGGGCTTACACTAACCTTCCCTACCCTACAGATACATATAGCAGATTTAAAGTGGTTGAATATGTTTAATCGTGAATGTTTTTATGCAACGTGCATATTCTTCGAAATAATCAAATATAGGGATCCTCCCTACTTATATGAACATTTGTCCTATAGAACAGATGTCCATAACCTGAATTTGCGTAAAAAAGTGATTTTGAACATTCCTGTACATAAAAAAGAAATATTCAAACGATCTTTTTTAAATATTCAACGTATATTGATTGCCAAATAATCCAGATATCGAAACTTTATAACACACTTGTAAAAAAGTAATGGAATAGATCAGTTTTGGTGATAATATTTGTTCAGAACAAGCAACATAACGACAAAATGAAAGTTTTTCACAAATAGTCAGCGGGCATACTTAAAGACTGGCTCTAAATCAAATCATTAAAGGAACAATTCGTTCAGGCCAGTCTCAACTCTCTACTCTCTAGGTGATTTATAGCCAGTTTTCAAGTATGACCACTGACTATATGTGAAAAGTTTCTTTCCTTATACGAGGCAGATGGGGCGATGACAAACCTGTTGATGATAGACACTATCTTGCACTGACGATTGGCCAAACAGTCCGAAACCGGTTCTGCAAGTATATTTCAATAATTGAAAATCTACTGCGGCAGTTGTATCGCCAATAGCATATGCAGAAATAACTTCAGTGAAGAATCCTGCACTGACACCAGATGTAATTCAATTCCTTTCGTGATATTAGTCAGGGGAGTAGTTGATTTGTGATAGGTGTCAGTCCAATGTTTGTTTATAGCTCCAACTTTTTATATCATACTTCACTGACAGGCGTCAGAAGGTTATATTCAATGGCTTTAAGTCCGTTGAATATGCAGGTACCTGGGGTGTTCCACAAGGAAGCAACCTAGGTCCACTGCTCTTTAACGTCTTCATAAACGACATTGTTGAGGTTATTGACATCAACTGTTTGACATACGCGGATGACTTGAAAATATATTGTGAGATCGATGGCATCGAGGACTATCTTCAACTCTCCCCAAATCTGAAACGTGTTGAGCAATGTGGTTTTCGTAATACTCTTCCTTTGAACACTAAAAAATCTTCTATTTTCATTTCCATATTCAATAAACGATATTCCACTTCAACGGCTTCTCACATTCACCAATGTAGGTGTTACCTTCGACACAAAACTTTCCTTCATACCATACATTGAAACCATTCTGTCTGCTGCAAACAGAATGTATGGATTTATTGCACGAATCTTCAGAGATGATTTCGCGGCTTACCACAGGGATCAGTACTTGTCCCCTACTGTTCAGCTTATATACAATTACTGACATGCCTGAAACGAGTTCGAGAAAGTTCGTATACGCTGACGACTGGACACTAGCTGCTAGACACATAGATATTGAAGTCACCGAGGATGATATATAACGATAGCCTGCTAGCTATTTTCGCTAAGGAAGACTAAAACCAAGTGCTGCTAAGACAGAGGTCTCTAGTTTCCACCTGAACAACCGGTTAAAAAATAGAGAACTACAAATCTACTTTGAAGACATGCTACTTAAACGCAATAAACAACCTGAATACCTAGGGATTACACTAGACAGAACGTTGAGTTTTGAAGAAAATCTAAATCTAAAACAGCAGATCAAAACGCGTAATAACATCCTCCAGATACTATGTGGCACCACTTGGGGAGCATCAGCCTCCACACTGAGATCTTCAGCCCTGGGCTTGGTATGTTCAGCAG